CGGTTGGGTGTTGTGCGATGGTGGGATTGAGTTGGGTGCTGTGTGATGGCGGGCATGGCGTTTTGTGTTATGTCCCGCTTTCTCGTTTGTGCGGCGTGCGATCGCTTCTAGCACACGTTCTACTTCATCTCCCTCCCTTTCGCGTCCTTCATTTTTCCCCTCCCTTCCCTCCCCTCACCCCTCCGTGCCCATATCGAGTACTAACCCCACCCCCACCCCACAGGGCTCCAACACACGCGTCGACGGCTCGTTCGTAGCCACAATACTTGAAACAGCGGCAGTGGGGATTCTCTATCTCGCGTGGAAGAGTATCACGGAAGGTGCGATCTCGTTACTTTAAACTTCGTCTTTCTTCCCCCTTCTCTCCCATGCAACGGCTGACCATGTTCCTGCAGACTCGTGGGACGATGCGTATTATGAGTAGGCGTGCCCTTGTCTACAGGCGGATGTGGAGGTGTGCGCTCCAGAGGTGTACGTGCGTGCGGGGTAAAATGGAGGAGTGGACATGCGATAAACTAAACGAGAGACGCGGATAGAGGCCGCCGCGTGGGCGTACTAGTTGATGTTGGTTGTGTTTGTGTTTTTATAATATTGCGTACTTTTGTCTAGCTGTCTATGTGTGCAGTGTGGACGGGGTTGTGCTTGTGGGAGTTGGGGTGGTTGTCGCTTCCTTGAGGGGGGCGGGGTGGGTGTCTCGAGCGGGGGATTGGCGTTTTGGCGCTTTAAATCCAGAGGGAGAGAGGGAATGGTTGGATGGTGCGAGCGGCGGTGTGGATAGGAGTAGGGGGACGCGTCGGTCACGTGTCATCTGTGGCTGGGACGCTCGTCGCAAGTTCTGGTCGACGTCCGCATAGCTTGTCCGCATAGCTTGTTTATATGTTTGACGTCCTGGAACCTCGTGAGGGATGTCTTTGGGGCTTTCTTACTTGGTGTGATGGGATCAACGGTTGGTACTCGCAGTCCCTCGCACCCAACGACATCCTCCCTCTTCGGATCCTAATCCTGAGTTTGGGCTCGACGGAGGGGTAACGTATACAGCGGTCTGTACGCGCCTCACGTCTCACCCTCTTCCGCGGCCCCTGACCGCTGCACCTTGGCACGACTCTCCTTCCATCCCGCATACACCACTAGCTCATCTTTTTCTCTCCATCTCTGAATATTGGTATCTTGTGTTTCTGTAGTGACCTAGCCAACCAACAAGTCTCTTCACCAAGTAGGGATATTGTGTATTTATATTAATCAATGATTACAAGGCTATCGGCCGGCTAGCGTAATGGTTAACGCGCCAGTTTCCGGTTACTTGAGTAATCTAGCTGGAGATTCTGGGTTCGACTCCCAGGTTGGTCGCTACGTTATTAGATAACTATTTTTTTGACGTTACCCCCCGTCTTTTATTTATGGACTTGGTGCCCTGATAGCTGCGCACTGTTATCTTGTGTGGCCCTTTAGACGACAACTGTCTCTCGCGAGTGTGACGTGGAAGGCCTCTCGACTTGGAGTGTACGTGCCCTCAACTTGCAGCGTCTTGACTTGGCGTCGGGCCCTCGACCGGCAGCATACGTGTTTCTCGACGTTGAAGTGTAGGTGTCTCTCGGCTTGAAGCGTACGGACTGGACTGGGACCGTGCGGCTTTCTGGACTTGGCGTGCGGGTTTTTGACGTTGGAGCGTGGGGGCCCGTCGACTTTGAAGCGCACGCGGCTTTCGACTTGGAGCGTAGGGGTCTCTCGAATTGGCGTACGTGCCTCTCTAAGATGAAGTAGACGCGCCTCTCGACTGGGCGTACGTGCCCTCACGTTGGAGCGTTCGGAGGTCTTTGACCAGTCTGTGATTATAGCGCGCGCGAACGAGATTGGAAGAGACCAGTGAAATGTAAGATTTCATACCACAGCTAGACAATGTCGGTGTGCAGCATGTCTTGCGGAGGTAGCAGATCACTGACAGACATGGGTTCAGGGGAACTCTGGGACGCATACCGAGGTGGTCGAGTCTCCTACGATTGGTACAAGTACCTTTTGAGGTGCATTGAAGAGAGAAAAGTGACTGTTGAATTGAAGGAGCTCTTTGAACACTTGGTACGCATACCAAGATGATGACAGGCCCTCCAAGCTTACGCGCGCGTGTGCTCTAGCAATATATGGTTCCATGCGGTAGCGGCTATGGACGTTGGTGTGTTGTCGGATCACGACAATCCAAGCAACGAGGGGGTCTTGGACGATGACAGAACCAAGATGCAGTACACCTAGGAAAAGAAATACGCAGATTTTTGCCTTGCGCGAGGTATTTACAAAGAGAATGGAGCCGCGGTGCGGGATCGCAACTTCCTGGCGTATAGAGTTTACATTAGCTGCTAATAGACATCTCTGTTCTGAGTAATTCAGAGATAATGAAGTTAACCGTACCTAGAAGAAACGCGAAAGAGACGTGTCGCGTCGTTGCTGGGCGGGATGGCTAGCCATCGTCGCACTTCATTTTGCTACCTTGAGCTCAACTCTTCGTTCTTGTTTGTCTTGAGAAAGTCCTAATATCAGTTTTGAGTGAAAGTTTCCGACGACCTCCCTGGACTGGCCATGCAAGCTACGGAAAGAGCTTGAAGGCTATGCGCAGCATTGCCGCTGAGTAGGGTGGTCGGAGTCCCCTGCCCTGATTGGCTGGGATTCTATATTCAGACTACTCGCCTCCCTCCTCACCTCGTCCGCGCTTAGGAGATGGTATTGGGACAACACAGCACCATGTCTCTCATATATATACAAACACAGACTCTCCTACTTAGGCTCGATACCAACTTGCTGCCCTTGGCTCATGACGACCTCTGACAATCTCAGCCTCCTGGAGTTGTGCGGCTTTCCCACCGAAAGCTTACGACCCGGAACCAGCATAGCTATCGGGGATGAGGAGCACGAATACTACGATAGCTCGGACGATGGGTCCGTCGAGGATGCACCTGGGCCCGGCAGGATGCTGGACAAACTTGTGAACCATCTTTCAGTCTCTTTAGAGAATTCCCTGAGCCGCCGCGCACATTCTCCCCTCAGAACCAGCAGCCAAAATCCAGGCAACCTGAAATTGCGCGGCTATGCCACTGGGGGCTTATCATCCGGAACAACAGTGACAATTGGGCAGGACCGCTACGAGTACTGCAGCAGCTCCGACGACGAGTCCCTGGATGACCCCCCCGGAGCTGGGCAGACGCTGGGAAAGCTGGTGAAGCGCGTGTCCATCCCTATCGAGAAGTTTCTGAGCTTCTGCTCTGACCTGTCTGGTCACGGGCCCGACGCAGTATTCACTAGAATATCCGACAATTCATACCTCAATCTGGGTAAGCATTCGAAACGGCTTGATTTCTGGATCAAGCTGCATCCAGAGGACGCCGGGTTGTATCACCCCAGTGCTGCGGACGAGAAGAAGGTAGAGAGGCTGATGCATTTTGTGACGTACGTTCATTGATCGGCCTACGTTGGGTAATACTAATAGGATGCATTGTCCTCAGTGATCGCCGCTATAACCTGTCGGTCCGCCTTACCGCAGCTCACTACCTAGTCCTTCTTCTGTCATACACCCACCACACCGACCTCTCTAGCCTGGTCTCGCCCATTTCCAGCGTACTTCTACGGATATGCCAGGAAGGGACGCGCCGTGGATGCAGCCCAAGCATTCTGCGACCACTTGGCGAAGTCGTGGTCTACAAGGACTATCTCCCCAACATCACGGACTGTACATCGAGAGAAATCTCAGACGCCATTGTGTAAGTGACTCCTCCCGCGCACTGCCATACTTCACTGAATGTTGCCTTTAACGCGATACAGGGGCCCTCAGAATGGCCATACGTCTTCGCTAGTTTTGCTTCACCAATTATACACACTATGGGATTTAAGGGGCCACCGTCACAAGTCCGACGTAGAGGCCGTATATCGAGCAATGAAGGCACTCCAACCCGAGATGAATCAACTTCCATCACTTCCACCAGACGCCAGCCCGTTGGAGTTCGCGCTGAGACGGGCTGCCAATATTTGGTACAAGAGACTGGTAGAAAGTATTCCCGGAGACAGGAGAGAGGTCGAGATGAACAAGCTCATAGAACGCATGGTACGTACCTCACAAGCGATGGTCTACGTCTGAGGTCGCTCATGTTGTGGTTTACAGCAGTATACCATTCCTTGTGGTCGCAGCTATGGTAGCCGCTATATGGCCGGATCATGGCTCACCGCTGGATACTGGATTGAGAAACGATTGACAGATCAAATATAGAGAAAACACCAACCAGGAACCCCTGTCCGTCGCGTCTGTCACCTGCGCAGTATTCATGCTGAAGTCTGGACGTACAGGCGTCCTTCTAAGTAGGCAATAGTCATGTATTTTCTCGTCCTTTTATCTCGTAGATACGCAGGAGTTTCCCGGTCTTCCCCACGGCGTCGCAACATATTCAGAGAGGCCATCTTAGCACAGCTCCGTCCACCTCTTATCCATGCTTTGCTAGGACACGCAATTATTGTGTTGGACAGCGCTTTTTGAATCGTCTTCCTGCGACCGGTTTTGTTTTGCGTACCTCGTGCTATCAAACCTCGACTAGCAATCAGCTATCTGTTCGTCGTGCGCTTTGTCTGGGCAAAAAGTGACAAGTTACGCAACTCGTACAAATTTTCACAGCTCAGTCGCCGTCCAAAGTCCAAATGGCACTAGGAGTTGCAGCCATTCACGACCTCGTGTACATAATTCAGTCTGTAAACCTGGATAGCAGGGCAGCGATTGAGCTTCAAAACTTCATGGTCACGAGCTGATGGGGCGTGCGGTACGTGCATTAGCATGGTCAAGTAATGTCGCCGCAACGCGCATCAGCAGCCACCGTCAAAAGGACAAATTCGCGGGCGGGGAGGTAGTCACGTGAGTATCAACTAGTCACGATCCGTCACGACGCGCGCCACACACGGCCTCATTGCTGGGGCCAAGGTCGACGGTCGCCCAGTCTAAGCACAGATCTCACTAGCGCTCAAATAGAGAGACTATATAGTACAGAGTGCACAGATTGAGCTCTACTGGACAAGGAAACGGGCATTATCTAAACGCACATGCAAGCGCCACGGCCATGGGTGTGCAACTTGAGTAGACCTCAAGAAATAACATGGGATTCCCTTCGGATTAGAAACCTTTTCCTCTTAGGGGATCTTATGCCAACTTTGCTTGCTGCCCGTTCCAGGCTCGAACCGTGCTTAGGAGGATTCTGATTGGGCATCCAGACCGTAGCTTTCTGATGCGAGCGACTTCTATGGTAATACAAACCACGGTGAACTTGAAGAACTTCGGGTACTTGGAGTCGATCACCAATCCGCTGCACAGAGTATCTGCTGCGATTGAGAGCATGGCGTACGGCTCGCAGTGAACCTGAGTACGGCGGAAGCCGGCATATGAGAGTACTTGTACAGTCAAATGGCATGCCAATATTGAAGTATTCCAGAGACACAACGGCATTCTAACTACCTCGAGGGCAGTGCAACAATCAATACGGGCGAGAAAAGAATAATCTCGTCCAGCGCCAAGGCTACACGTGTGTGGAATGTGGAGTGTACGGGTGATGGCTCTAGACCACAGTTACGCGGTCACGTGCGGGCGTGGTATAAGTTCCGACTTGTGGCAGCCACATCCCACACTTCAACCACGACGTGCCACGACCACTAATCTGCCTTCCCTAAGAACGTTTCGTCTCATCTCTGTCAAATCTCCAGCCCATCTTCCTTCATTATGTCGCTACACACCGGAACGAAGACAGGGCCGTACATTCCTTTAGGACATCGCAAAGATCGCAAGAAACGGGAGCATGCGCCTGGAAAAAACGACATGAGCAAACACATGATTGGTACTCCTCGATCTCACGGACCCTTCGCTCCCTCTGGTTCATCCTTCTCCAACATGCTCCGTCAATATAGGAAGGAGCAACAGCTGCAGACGATGCAGACGAAGGATGTGATTGAAGAGCCTCACTTATCTGATGATAGGATGAGACTCCTTCAAGAGAAGGAGAAGGCATGGATTAAGAAGGAGATGAGGTCTGCCTTGCGGATCTGGCTTTGCAGTGTTGTAGAGAGAAAGGACATGGAATTGAAGGTACCCCGGCGTCGCCGCCGATATCGCCCTTGCCCTCGCTCATCCCAGTGCTACTAGGAATGGAGAATCTATGTTATGTGTCGACGAGTATGGGCAACGGGAGCTTACGATAACATCATCGTACGTCGGACCTATTGATCGTAACACATCGTAACTCACGAACAAGTAGGAATATCTCGACCAGGACCGCCTCAAGCACCTGAGTAGCCTCGGTATCGAAGCAAGTGACTTGGACGAGGAGGTATGGTTC